GGCTCCTGCCTGATGCTTCCTCAGAATTGATTTAGGAATCGCGCTCTCGCGCGAGACATCCTCACACTTTCTGCAGCGTGGGATTGGCTCGAAATAATTTCAGACGACGCGCCTTCGGCACTCAGGAATCGTTTTCTCGCTTCGACTTCTCGCGCGATGTACATGAGAATCGCGCTATCGCTCGAGACGCCCTTGCGATTCATGCAGGACTCACGCTTCAGCACCCCGCCTGCTCGACCTGGCCGCCTGGGCCGGCCTTCCCGACCCGCTCGTTAAGGTCTACCCGCCCGATCTGCCCGTTTGGTTCCGCCACGGGTTTTCTGCTCCTAGGCCTCCTCCTGCTGATTTCTTTCGCGCTGCATCCTTCTCCCTCCCCCTTCCATCCGTCGTCTCTTTCTCTGTTTTAAAGGCTGCGCTACATGCACGTTGCAGGCAAGAAAGACATACCTCCAAGGGGGCACGATCGAAGACGAAGAGGGCGGGCACCGAGAGCTCGGAATACATACATCTATATATATATATATAGATATATAGGTGAATGGCACGCGAGCAGATAGGTGCGAATAGTCTTAAAATGAATGGTGTTGTTGTTGTTGTTGAACTCTCACTCCAGAAGAAAAATTATTGGTGATCCCTCCCCCTCTGGTAGCATACGCTTTTTCGATTCAAGTGCCCCTCCTGGAGCCCGTACTTCGTTTTTTAGCAGGAAAAGTTTTCCTCCTCGCCCCTGGCCCCCGAGTTACAACAACGGTTCCCGCTTGATACTTCCTCGCCATGTATTGAAGAATCGCGCTCTCGCGCGGGACTGCCTTACAATTTACATACGGATCGCGCTCTCGCGTGGAACTTCCTCGCAATTTATTCAGACGATGCGCCCTCGGCGCTGAGAAATCACGCTCTCGCTTTTGGCCTTCTCACGATGTATGTGGGAATCGCGCTATCGCTCGAGACTTCCTCGCGATGCATACAGGACCCACGTTTCAGCAACGCGGCTGCTCGACCTCGTCGCCTGGGCCCGCTTTCCCGACCTGCCCGCTATGGGTCTGCCCACCCGATCTGCCCGTCTGCTTCTACCACTTGCTTTCTGTTCCTTGCCCCCTTCTTGCTAATTTCTCTCGTGTTTCATTATTCTCCCTCCCTCTTCCACCCGTCCTCTCCTCCCTCGTTTTAAGGGCTGCACGACACGCACGTAGATCTACCCCCAAGGGGGTACGATCGAAGACGGCGAGGGCGGGTACCGAGGGTTTGGGGTATACGTATTGGTTGGCACGTGAGCAGATAGGAGCGAGCAGCTTTAAGATGATGTTTGTTGTTGAGCCCTCACTCTTGAAGAACAACTATGTTTGATCCCCTTGCACGGGTACACACTGCGTTTTCGAGTGAGGTGCCCCCCTCGAGGCGCCCATCCGTTTTGTAATAAAGAACTGGGGAGTCTCCGTGGTCAATTTGCGTTTTTGAGTTCCGACATACAACAACAACGAAAACAACAACAACAAAAACAACAACAACAACAACAACAACAACAACAACAACAACAACAACAACGGCCCCCGTCTTATACTTCCCACGAGCAATTCCAAAATCGGGCTCTCGCGCACGACGTCCTCGCGATGTATGCACGAATTGCGCTCTCGCGTGGGACCTCGTCGCAATGTATTCAGACGCCGCGCCTTCAACACTCAGGGATCACGCTCTCGCTTGTTGGCAGTTCTCACGATTGAGTTTGGAATCGCACTATCGCTCGAGATTTCCTCGTGATTCATGCAGGACTAACGCTTTCAGCATCCCGCCTGCTCGACTTGACCGCCTGGGCCGGCCTTCCTGACCCGCACGCTAGGGTCTGCCCGCTCGATGTGCCCGTCTGGTTCTGCCACGGGCTTTCTGCTTCTAGCCCCCCTCCTGTAAGTTTCTCTCGTGCTCCATCCTTCTCCCTCCCCCTTTCTATCCGTTTTCTCTTCCCCTGTTCTAGGGACTGTGCTAGATGCGCATGGTTGCCAAGGAAGATATACCCCAACGGGGGTACGATCGAAGACGAAGAGGGCAGGTACCGACGGTTTGGGGTATACGTTTAGAAAGGCACGCGAGCAGGTAAGAGCGAACAGTCTTAAAATAATCGCTGCTGTTAAATGTTCATCTCCAAAGCAACATTTATGATTGCCCCCCCTGCCCGGTGACTATTGCGCGTTTCTGTTAAATTGTTTCTCCCGGTGTTCGCACCTTCTTTTTTACCAGGGAACATGTGGGATCAGCAATATGTGCCCTTGGCCACCAGTTTAGAAGGACAACGCTTCCGCCTGATAGTTCCTAACAATGTATTGAGAAGTCGCGCTTTCGCGCGGGACGTCTTCACTATTTATGCATGAATTGCTCTCTCGCGTGGGACTTCTTCACATGTATTTGACGCCGCGTTCTCGACGCTTAGAAATCGCGCTCTCGCTGTCGTGTTTCTCGCGATTCAGTCTGGAATCGCGCTATCGCTCGAGACGCCCTCGCGGTTCATGCAGCATTCCCGTTTCAGCAGCCCGCCTGCTCGACCTGGCCGCTTGGGCCCGCATTCCCGACCCGCCCGTCGGGTCTGCCCGCCCGATCTTCCCATCTGGTTTTGCAACGTGCTTTCTGCTCCCAGCCCCAGCACGCGAATCCCGTGATCCATCCTTCTCCCTCCCCTTTTCCATCCGTCCTCTCTTCCCTTGTTTTCGGGGCTGCACCAATTACACGCGGCAGGCAAGAAATATGTACCCTGACGGGGGCACGATCGAAGACGAAGAGGGCGAGCACCGAGGGCTTAGGATATACGTTTCGCATGGCACGCGAGCAGGTAAGGGCGAGCACTCTTCGAATAATTGTTGCTGTTGAGTTCTCACATCCAAAGCATAATCATTGTTGATCCCGTCTGCCCGGTGACCACTAGGTTTTCCGATTACAGTTTTCCTCACGGGGTTCGCACTTTGTTTTTTGCAAGGACACGATTGGGGTCACCAAAGTGTGCCCCTAGCCGCGGATTACAACAATAACAACACCAACAACCATCACAACAACAACCACAACAACTACAACAACAACAACAGCAACAACAGCAGCAGCAACACCAACAACAAAAATGGCTCCCGCCTGATACTTTCTCACTGTTTATTGAAAGATCGCGTTCTCGCGCGGGACCCCCTCGCAATGGATGCAAGAATCGCGCTCTCGCGTGGGACCTCGTCGCAATGTATTCAATAACCGCGCCATCGACGCTCAGAAATCGCATTCTCGCTTTGGTCTTTCTCACGATTCATTTAGGAATCGCGCTATCGTTCGAGATCTCCTCTCGATTCATGCAGTACTCTCGCTTCACCAACCCGCCTGCTCGACCTGGCCGATTGAGCCCGCCTTCCCGACCCGCCCGTTAGGGTTTACCCGCCCGATCCCGTTTGGTTTTGCTTGCCCCATTCTTGCCAATCCAGTGTTCCATCCTTCTCTCTCCCTTTTCCATCCGGTTTCTCTTCCCCTGGTTTAGGCGCTGCACCAAATACACGCGGCAGGTACGGAAGATATATCCCCGGCGGGGTGTGATCGAAGACGATGAGGGCGGCTTTCGAGGGCTTGGGATATGCGTGTTGAACGGCACGCGAGCAGGTAAGAGCGAACAGCCTTAGCATGATTGTCGCTGTCATTGATGTTGGTGGTGGTGGTGGTGTTATGTTGTTGTTGGTCTTGGTATCGATTGCGCGGGGAGTGGCCCCGATGATGGTGGTGGAATGATGAGAGAGATATGGAGGAGGAGGAGGGGGAGGAGGAGGAGAAGGGGGACCAGTGTAAGCCCAAGACACATCAACGATATTGCAATAAACCCTCACTCGAATTTCCCTCTTCACAGGCACCTACAAGGGTTCATTTTGACTGAGGGAAGTGCGCCGTTGGAAGACAACCGTGTGAAAATCTTGAATTGTGCTGGAACATTATTCCTGGGAGTTCAACGCCGCGAATCACTACTACTGTTGCGTTTTGACGATCCTGAATCGTGCCAGAAAACTACTACAGGGATTCCAGCCTCGCGAATCAACTTATTTGGGCGCCCTAACAGTCCGACACTGCGCGTGCCAAAGCATAAATTTTGGGACGGTGACCATGGGATCCCTCGAAACTTCCATAAATTCTTCATTCGAATGTGCGCGGCTCGAAGGCGAGGGCCACATCCTGACAAGGAGCCGCCCCCCTCCGCGAAGCCCCTGCAATTTGTTAAGACAACTGCGCGCGGCGCTGAGGCGAGAGCCACATTTTGAAAGCGGCCCGCCCTCCATCCGTGAAGTTCCTGCAAAGTTCTAAGACGAGTGTGCGCGGCGTTGAGGCGAGAGCCACATTTTGAAAGCGGTCCGCCTCACATCCGTGAAATTGTTGTTGCCAACCTTCAGTTTCAGGAGCGTTAGTGATGAGGAAGTCTCAGGCGACACGCCCGGCCCGCCCTACTGACACGCCTTGGGGTGCGACAGGGATGCGTTATTTCACTTAGAAGGAAAGGGAATAGAGTAGGAGCGGCTGGAGGAGGAGGAGGAGGAGGAGCAATGAGAAGGGTCAGTATTACGGAGGGAGGGGGAGGAGGAGGAGGAGGAGGAGGAGGAGGAGGAGGAGGGAGGAGGAGCCGGAAGGATGAGGAGGAGGAGGAGGAGGAGCAGTTGGAGGAGGAGGAGGAGGAAGCGGATGAGCAGCAACAAAGGGGAATAGTTTCCGCCCTCGCCTCCTCCTTCTTTCTTCCTCCGTCCCTCCCTCCCCCCTCCTTCCTTCTTCCTCCCCCCTGCCCCCTGCATCCCCATCTTCCCTCCCTCCCTCCCGTTCCTCTTCGTCGCCGCCGCCGCGCCGCCGTCGCCGTCGCCCCCGCCGTCGCCGTCGCCGTCGTCGTCATCGTCGTCGTCGTCGTCGTCGTCGTCGTCGTCACCGCCGCCGCCGTCGCCGTCGTCGTCCTCGCCGTCGTCGTCCTCGCCACAGGCACGCCACCCTTCCGCGCCCCCCTCGGCCCGCAGGTCACAGCGGTGGCGCCCGCCTCTTACGTGCCCCCGCCGGTCGCAGGCTCCGGGCCAGTGCGCCTTCGCGCGCCGCCGCCACCGCCGCCGCCGCCGTCGTCGTGGTCCTCTTCCTCCCCGGAGGCCTGCGGTCTGCACACTGTGCGGCTGGGAGGAGGAGGGAGGGTCGAGGTGGAGCATACTGAGGTTGAACAGGATGAGGAGGGGGGTATGAGGACGGAGGGGGTTAGGAAGGAGCAGGACCAGGATAATGAGAATTAAGAGGATGATGAAGACGATAATGGTGATGACGGTGATGACGACGCCTGTTTTTACGAGGCGGAGGAGGATGAAGAGGACAAGGAGGAGGAGGAGGATAAGTGAGTGCGGAGGAAAAGGACGGGGAAGAAGTAGGATGGAGGACAGAGGGCCAGACGCAGTGGGGATGAGGCAGAAGCAGTATGCGGAAGTGGAGGAGGAGGCGGAGGAGGGAGGAGGATCGAGGATTGACAGATGAAGAAGCAATCCGGAGCAAGAGGACGATGAGGTTATGGAGAAAGACGGATGAATAGGAGGAGGAGGAGGAGGAGGAGGAGGAGGAGCGATTGGAGGAGAAGGAGGAGGAGTATGAGGTGGAGGAGAGGAAGGGACAGGAGCACGTGCCGCAACGCCAGTCGCCATACATGTTGCACCAGTATTATGGATACTCTGTTGTGCTGGGTCTCCTTGGAGTGGGCATCTTCATGAAGACAATGGAAAACGCTGCACCTCTGGCCACGCCGTACCTCCGGCCACGCCCGAAACGCCACTCGCCCAAAGAAGATTTAGATGCCTTGAGCTTACATTGCTCGCTCTCCATTGGGTTGACGTTGGCGTTGCACACGATGGGTACCATTCGCTTGTCGCGGAGGACCGCGCCAGACGCGGACGGACACGTGACGCAGCGAGTTCTTCTATTTTGATCCCCCCGCCTTTGATCCACGTTGATCCTTTGTGTGTCTTCCAACCTTTCTATGTGACCCCTTCGCGATGTTCAAGCGCGTGAGTGCCAGCTTCTTCGTCGGCATAATGGTTAGCATCGTTTGCTGTGCAATCTCCCTTGTCATAAATAGTGCTACTTGGCGCGTGCTGCCAAATCTGTGGGAAAGGGAATTCTACTCTGCATTCACGTCATTTCTTTCCTGAGGTTATTGGCGCTCAGGCGTACCAAGCTACGCGATGTGTACCACCTGACAACGATGACGTTCATTGCTCCGCAAGTTCAAGTCCACTGAGCGGCTGGAGGGACCGATGCACATATCGCGTAGCGCCATGACGGGGCTGCTGCTGCCTGCTCCGCTGGCAGGATTGCTTGGGCTGGCTCCCCGGAGGTCCCGAAAGCGGCGTATCTTTTGGTGGCCGACCCGCTTGTTGCGACTCTGGCACCGTCGGTCATTGGCACCGCGTCCGTTCTATCGATTGCTTCGCAGTGCACATGGTGACGATGCTTGTGGGGCTCTCAGGAGAGTTGCTGCTTGAATGAAGTCACTCAATCCGTACGTACCTGGGCGTTGGCTTCGGACTTCCCCTGCGTTCTGCTCCTCGACTTCGGCGCTCCACCGGCGCACCCGCATCCTTCCCTTTCCTTTGGCGGCCTGATCTTTGTGCGAGTTGCGGCTGCCCTCCCCGGCGCAGGCTCGCGCGTCTGCAGTTGGGCCCCCGGGGGGGGAGCAGCGCCGCAACGGTCCGTGCGGCCACGGGGAGAGAGAGAGAGAGAGACAGAGAGACTCAGATCGTCCGTTCCCACGGCTTGCGGGCGAGCTCTGCCTTCGGACAGCACAGCGCCTTAGCTCTGGAGCTGGTCGCACTGTATCCTCTCTCCTGCCTCCTCCTCCTTCGTCGTCCTTCCCCGAACTTGCTTGCCATTTTCCATGATCTCGGAGATTCGTCGGCACGTCGGCTGGTTCGTCATTGCCTCCAGGGCGTATCAGGCTGAGAGGCTGACGTGTAGATGTCGTCCTTCTGTGGTTCAGCGCGGCAGCTTCTGCACATCCGCCGGGAGTTGGTCGCTCTTTCCCCTCCGTCCTCAAACCGCCCTCCTCATTATCAGTGCTCTCCTTGTCCTCCATGTTGCCCTCCTCTTCGATTGTTCCGCCGCGAATTTTTTCCAGCAGGCCACCCGGTAATTGCCGCTCGCGCACGGGCGTGCCAGGTCGTTGGGCCGTCTGGCACGTCGAATTCCGCCTGCGGGCAGCTCAACACTTTAGTGTTCTGGAGCCGATCGTTCCTCGTCCTCCTCCTCCTCCTCCTCCTCCTCCTCCTCCTCCTCCTCCTTCGTCCCGCTCCCTACAGTTTTGTTGCCAGCATCCATGACGCCTCGCAACCGCATCTTTTGTCAGCGCGGCATCTGGTTTGCCGCTCGCGCCCGCGCGTGTCGGGGCCAAGAGGCAGAGGTGCAGGTGGAGTCTGCCTGCGGTCAGCCCAGCAGCTTCTACTCATCTTCGTTGAGGATCTGGTCGCTCTCTCTCCTCCCTCCTCCCTCTCCCATCCATGCTCTCCTTGGCGTGTCAGGTTGCTGGGCCGATCTGCAGCTGAGCCCCGCCTGCAGACAGCACAGCCTGTGCTGACCAACACATTTGAGCCCTCGCAGCGGCCAGAACGGGCTGAAAATAGAGAGCCCTCCAGGGACGCCTAGGCCGCAGAGGGGGCCTCCTCGGGGCCTCATGTGCTGACTCGCCGCCGGCACTTGAGCTTATGAGCAGCGCGCTCACCTGGTTGTGTCGAACCGAGGCAGCATACCACCCCGATGCTGACACATGTTCTCCCGATTGTGAGCGCAGACGTTTGAGGCTTCCCACCCTCTCGGTCTGCAGACTGCCCACTGCCCACACCAGCCCAAGAGGCCTCCAGCACCGACGCCCAAGGTACGGCCCAAAAGCGCCCCGTCGGGTTCTACAGCGGACCCGAAAGCCCCACGAGGGGTTTGTCTGGTGCGCCAGACAGGCCCCCAAAGACGGCCACGAGAGAACCGAAGACGGCCTCGAGAAGTCCAAGATTGACGCATCGACGGCGCCCCGTCGGGTTCTACAGGGGGCCCGAAAGCCCCACGAGGGCTCTTTTTAGTTCGCTGGGAAGGCCCCCAACACGGCCACGAGAAGGCCGAAGACTGCTTCCCGAGGAGTCCCAGATGGACGCCCTGAAAACGGCGCCGGCGCCGCGCTGCGGTGCCCACAGCTCCCTGCCAGGGGTGTCCACCACCCAGTGTTAGATCGGGCCTGTCCTTTACAGGAGGAATATTCAAAAGTAGTCAAATGATAGTCGGGGGACGATTGTTCTACTACTTTTGAGGATGCTCGAGAATTGTTGGGGTATATTTTATTCGTCGTCCAAAATCCGCTTGCAGGAGGACATGTCCGACCTAAACCCAGCGCTGTTTGAAAATGAGACCCAACGCGCTCAAGAACACGTCCGTCGGAACGTGCTGCCGTCCGCAAGGGGGAAGCGCATGGCTCACGACCACCGTTCCAGCACGGGCCCTGCATGGCAGGTGAGGCGGTGACGCCCGATGTGGCGCAACATTCCCTAAGCGTGCCTTTGGGGGAGTTCCAAGCGACCCCAGGAGACTAGAGGGTGCCCCAGGCGGCCCCAAGGTTTGCCCAATAGTGCCCTGATAGCGTCTCGCACAATTCGGCGAAAGTTAGTTACCGTACGTCTCGGACACTTGAAAAGCCGCTCGAAAAGGCGCCGATGGGCACCCAAGAATGTCAACATGTGCCTTCCAAAGGCCGCCAGAAACGTATCATCATCCCGGGACAAAATCCAGGAGGGCCCCCAATACGGAGATGCTTCAGACGATGCCATGAAAGAAACCCAGGGAGGCCCCCACGATACGTCCAAATCGCCACCTGGAAGTCCAAAAGAGTCCCACCGAGGCCCCGACAGACCACAGGCAGCCCCCCGGGAAATTCCAAGCAAACGATTCCTGAAAGAGCAGCAGGCCAAGAAGTCTGCAGAGTAGGACGAAGGGAGAGCCTGTTCCATCTATCCACGTCTTCATGTTGCCTCCTTCGTCTACCTTCCTTTTCCATCGCCGTTCCCCCATCATACATGTTCCCTCCCTCCCCTCGCGCCTCCTACCCCTCCCCTCCTCAGTCTCCCGATCTCCTTCATCCATACTTTCCGTGCCCCCTCGTTGTTCCCCTCCCTACGCTCTCTTCCATGCTTCGCTGCATGGCATGATTTTGCGTTTTGCCCCGTGTTCTTAGCGCGTGTTTAATTTTGACGGTAACCCCGTCTGGGTTTGGGGGGGGTCGTGGGTCCGTTTTGGTCGTCCCGTTTTCCGCCATTCCTCTCCCCCTCCTCCTGTTCCTGCTGTTGCCGCCTTCGCCGTCCGCGGCATCCTTTCCGCTCTAACCTGAAAGGGAAGGGGCCCCCAGCGTCCTCGTCGCAAGCGTCGTCGCCGCCGCGAGGTGCGATCGCAAACCGTTTCATTTGTTATTGGATTCCCCCTTTCGGGGTGTCCTCGCGGGTCACGTTTGGACGCGGGTCCGAAAATCGTCGGGAACCTGGCCGCATTCAAATGCGAGCCAAGGCCTTTGGTCAGAAGCCCAGGGTGCTTGGCCAGAAGGTAAATATAATTTCCCCCAAATGTTATCAGCCGAAACGGTGAGTCACCGCAGACCAACGAAGCGGCGCCCGCTAGCGCAGTGCACCTGTGCAACACAGGTGGACTCCTTGGTAGCGAATTTCGAGGCCATGATACTGGACCCTTCGTTCGAGGTTGAAGGGGCCGCTGACGGCCACGTTTTGACACGCGAACGGTCAGCTGTCGCCGCCCCAGTCGGGCTGGATCGGACAACTGGCCATGAACATGTCATTCCTATAGACGTCGACGCACCAGCGCCAGCAAGTGCCTCGCATGGCGGGGCCAACGCGCTGGGGCGACCTGGCGCGACGGGCGACGACGGGCGTGGGAAACTTGGCGCCGCGGGCGACGCGCCAGGGAAACCTGGCGCCGCGGGGGGGCCGGCCGCGCGCAGGATGAATTCGGAAGAGCCGGGAAAGTGTTGGTTTTTGTTGCATGACCTG